GTCAGTCGTCCCATGTAATGTTCTAGCTGTTGCTTCTTGACCCACACAGAGATTTCTCAGGAGACAGGTAAGGTGGTCTGGTATGCCCAGTTCTTTAAGAATTTCCCACAGTTCATTGTGATCCCTATAGTGGATTCACTAAGCTTATGAATAGTGAATGAAGCAGAAGTAGATGTTTTTCTGGAATTCCTTTGCTTTCTCTATGATCCAGTGCATGTTGGCAACTTAATCTCTGGTTCTTCTGCACTTTCTAAACCCAGTTTGTATATCTGGAAGTTCTTGGTTCACAAACTGCTGAAACCTAGCTTGAACGATTTTGGAGCATACCCTCACTAGCATGAGAAATGAGCGCAATTGTATGGTAGTTTGAACATTCTTTGGCATTGCCCTTCTTTGGGACTGGAATGAAAACTGACCTTTTCCAGTCCTGTGGCCATTGTTGAGTTTTCCAAATATCTCTTATTATCTCTCCTTGCTGTTCTCTAAAACTCTATATTGTGATGGGTATATCTTTTTTTTTTCTCCCTTGCCTGTCACTTCTCTTCTTTTCTCAGCTATGTGTAAAGCCTCCTCAGACAACCATTTTGCCTTCTTGTATTTCTTTTTCTTGGGGGTGGTTTTAGTCATCCTGTACTATGTTACGAACTTCTGTCCATAGTTCTTCAAGCACTCTCCCTAGCAGATCTAATCCCTTGAATCTGTTTGTCACCTGGCCTTGTGATTTCCCCTACTTTCTTCAAATTAAACCTAAATTTTGCAGAAGGAAGCTGATGATCTGAGCCATAGTCAGCTCCAGGTCTTGTTTTTGCTGACTGTACAGAGCTTTTTCATCTTCAGCTTCAAAGAGCACAATCAATCTGATTTGGGTATTGATCATCTGTTGGTGTCCATGTGTAGAGTTGTCTCGGGTTGCTGGAAAAGTGTGTTTCCTCTGGTCAGCATGTTCTCTTGATAAAACTGTTTTCTCTAGCCCTGTTATATTTTGTATTCTAAGGCCAAACTTGCCTGTTACGCTGGTATCTCTCAACTTCCTATTTTTGCATTCCAACCCCCTATGATAAAAAGAACATCTTTTTTTAGTATTAGTTCTAGAAGGTCTTCTAGATCTTCATAGAACTGGTCAACTTCAGCTTCTTGGGCCTCAGTGGTTGGGGCATAGACTTGGGTTGCTGTGATGTTGCATGGTTTGCTTTGAAAATGAACTGGGATCTTCCTGTTGTTCTTTGAGGTCAGACTTTTCTGTTGATTATGAGGGCTACTCCGTTTCTTCTAAGGGATTCTTGCCCACAGTAGTAAATATAATGGTCATCTGAATTAAATTCACCCACTCCCATCCATTTTAGTTCACTGATTCCTAAGATGTTGATATCCAATCTTGCCATCTCCTGCTTGGCCATGTCCAATTTACTTTGAATCATGGACCTAACATTCCAGATTCCTATGCAGTACTGTTCTTTACAGCATTGGACTTTACAGTCACCACCAGACACATCCACAACTGAGCATCATTTCCGCTTTGGCTCAGCTACTTCATTCTTTCTGGAGCTCTTAGTGATTGCCCTCCGCTCTTCCCCAGGTGCATATTGGACATCTTCTGACTGCAGACTCATCTTCCAGTTTCACGTCCTTTTGCCTTTTCACACTGCTCATGGGGTTCTTGTGACAAGAATACTGGAGTGGTTTGCCATTCCCTCCTCTAGTGGACCACGTTTTGTCAGAACTGTTCCCTGTGCCCTGTCTTGGGTGACCCCGCATGGCATGGCTCATAGGTTCACTGAGTTATGCAAGCCCCTCTGCCACAAGAGGACTGTGATCCATGAAGGGGACCACTCCCATTTACTCACCTCCAAATCCCACGCAGGGCTCTCCGCTTGATGGAGGTAGGCATCATGCAAACTGTGAGCTCTATGAGAGACTAGGAAATGACATTTTGTAGGAAGCAGGACTAGACTGTGGACTGTCGTGAGAGCTGAAGAAGACAGCTTAGTTTCTGCCACAAGTACTGTTACTGTTCTTGGCAGTGGGGATGGAGCCATGAGCAAGAGAAACCAAGTGTTTTATTTCTGCCTTGTGGAGCAGAAAGTATAGTAGGGAAGGAGATAACAAACAATTAAATGAATAAAATTTACTTGTTTGACTAAATAATAAATGAATAAAATTACTTAAGGAAAAAATAGCATAGACTAAGAACCTGGATATTGGAGTGTTACTTTTGATAGAAGGTTCAGGGAAAACCCTGGTGAGGAAATAAAACTTGAGCAAAGACTTGACTGATAAGAAGCAGGAAGCTGTAAGAAAGTCTGGGGCAAGAGCATCCCGGGTTAAAAGAAGCAAGTTCAAAGGCTGTGACATTTGGCCTGGTACAGCAACAGCAAAGCCAGAGTGGGCCATGAAAGCACCATAGGAGATGAGGTCAGACAGGTAGGCAGGAGCTAGCACACAGGGCCTGGGTCATCATACCAAGTACACGGGAGGCTGTAAGCAGGACAGTGACCAGATGTGACTTACATTTCATAAAGATGCCTCTGACTGCTCTGCAGAGAGGAGACCATGGCAGGGCACAGGGACAAGTAAGGAGACTGATTCAGACCCTGGAGCAGCTGTCCAAGGAAGGGACAATGGTGGCTTGAACTGTAATAGTGGCAAAACAGGTGGGAAAACTGGTCCAGTCCTGGGTGTACTTTGCAGGTAAACCTAATAGAAATTGGATGTTGGAACTGGGGAATTCAAGAATGATGCCTAGAGTTTTGGAATGTGCCATTGGTAGATGGTGGGGCCACTAATAATGATGGGTAAAATCTGAGAAAGAATGAGACTTGGGGTAAAGGAGAGAGGAAGTCAGGAACAGACATCCAGGTGGAGATACAGAGTTGCCACAGGGATAGTAGCTCAGGGAAGGGGCAGAGGCCGATGCTGTAAGCTGGGGAGACATTGGGACATGGTTATATTGAGTTGGCCAAAAAGTTCATTCAGGTTTTTCCATTGCATGTTATGGAAAAACCTGAATGAACTTTCTGGTCAACCTAATATTTAAAAACAAGGGAGTAGATGAGATTACACAGGGAGAGACTATAGATAATAAAAAGATGAGGATCCAGGACTGGAGCCTTGGAGCACTTCAATAGATTGAGGTGAAGATAAAGAAGCATTTGGAAAGAAGATAAAGAAACACTCATTAACTAGTTAAGGAGAAATAAAACCCAGAAAAGTGTGATAGCCTGATTACCACGTGAATAAAATGTTTCCTGAAACAGGCAGTGAATACCCATGTTGATGCCTTCCTTAAATCAGAGGTCTAGTAAGTTAGTGGTCAGTGCTTTTCGTTCACTGGGGTCACTGGTGACCTTGGCAAGATCCATTTTAGTCTAGTACTGTTGTGGCTTGCAGGATGGGTGTGATCCAGATGAGAGAGAGAGAAATTAATGCAAAGAAAGGGGTTAATTTTAGGAGCAAAATAAGTGAAAGGAGAACAGGGAGGAGACAGAGGGCTGGACTTGGGCAAGGGCCAGACAGTGACAGCAGGAAGGGTGGGATGTGAGGGGGGTTTAGGGGTGGCTATAGGCTGCTTGCTTCCCTGGTGGCTCAGAGGTTGAAGCGTCTGCCTGCAATTGGGAGACCTGTGTTCAAGCCCTGGGTTGGGAAGATCCCCTGGAGAAGGAAATAGCAACCCAGTCCAGTATTCTTGCCTGGAGAATCCCATGGATGGAGGAATCTGGTGGGCTACAATCCACAGGGTTGCAAAGAGTCGGACACGACTGAGCGACTTCACTTTCACTTTCATAGGCTGCTTACACCTAGAAGAAGGGTGTGCAGCCATCAGCTCAGATCAAAGGCAGGGAGAAGAAACTGGGTAGATGTTTGAAACAAAAGGAAAATGGTGTGAGGGTCCATTTCTCAGAGTGGAAAAGTGGTTTTTGAGAAAATCTCACGGGATTTCTGATTCATAGTAAAACCTGTGGTCATTCGTTTAAAGGAAGACCAGTGGTATCATTACGTGATTTTGCTCAAAGCATCCTTTAAAAGCAATGCTCCCATCTTATTTTGTAACTAAAGTAATAGAGAAAGTTCTGGTGATGAGAATTACACACCAGGGAAGAGGGAAGACTAGAGCATTGGCAGGTGTTGGCAGAATTCTCAGGAGCCCGGACCTGGTGATTCCCCTGAAGTCACATGTCACATCTGTGGGTGATTTATTCCTGGCACTTTGCAGTCGGCATCCTGGCACTGGATTCATCTTCCCCTGAAACCCCTGAAACCCTGGTGGCTTCCTTTGGGGACAACCCACACCATCTCTTCGTCCATCTCCCAAACATTCATCTACTACCTTCCCATTAAGTACCTAAGACACTCCTGAGGAGCAAGATGAGCAAGTTCTAGCTGAATCAAGGTCCACTTGCCCATCACTTAATAGTGAAAGGCAACACGCATACAGCACTTATTATGGGCTAGTTCTACTCAAAGGTAATTTGTACATTTGAACTCTTCTAATTATCCCAACTACTCATAGGGTAGATGCTGTCTTTTCCATGTTTGGCAGATGAGGCGATTGAAGCCAAAATGCTGAATGACATGCCCTGAAAGGCTGGAATCTGGACCTGGACAATCTGATGCCAGAATCTGGGGTCTGTTGTCTTTTGTGGTTCTAATTCAGGGTTCTGTCTCTCTTACCTTGAGGAAGAGGCATTCAGACCAGTTTTGGCAGGAATTTTAAAATTTGGCATGATTTACCCTTGAGTTTTTAATATAAATGTCCCAGTGACTGAAAAAAGAGAATAATATATACAATTCTTTACAAGTTATATCATCTGTCCAGCAATTCCAGGATTCATCTTGGACAGGTTTTGCTACGTTTGCTCCATTTCCTCTTCACCGTGATTGTACTGACTATTGTTGAGATTATCCTGAGCCCAGTTTTGGGGGTCACTGCATTTTGTATCAGTTGTTTGTCAGCTGTGCATTTTCTGCTAAGTTAACGCTGCCGTTTCTCTCTTTCCCCACAGGTTATCATTGCTCTCTCAGAAAAGCACCGCTCGCACATTCCATATCGAAACTCCATGATGACCAGCGTCCTGAGAGACAGCCTGGGAGGGAACTGCATGACGACCATGATAGCCACACTCTCTTTAGAGAAAAGGAATATCGACGTACGTTGGTTCTTCTGTCTGGAGATCTTAGTCTGAGTTTTTGTGCTAGTCTGTGAGATGGAGTTCAGGGTCCCGGGTGGGTCTCCGTCTTTTCAGCTGGGCTGGGGTGTGCCTTCAGAGGTAAAGATGCCCCCAGAATTCAGAGCCTTGGGTTATGTGCCAGTGCTGAAATTCCCCCTTTTGAGAACTGAGTTCACATAGCAAGGGATGGTTTGCAGAAAACTTTGTACACACGTTTTGGAAGACCTGCTGATGGGTTGTTTACCTTGGCCGGAGACCTGAAAGAGGAGACCCATCAGCTTCTCCTGACCCTTCTCCACTCCTGGTTGCTTAGATGCCTTGGAGACATCACCAAGGTGTGAGCTTAGACGTGTCCCTGAGCCCAACACCAGGACGCCTTGGTGGAGGCTGGTTGCCAAATGCCCCAGGTGGCTTTAGAGCCAGCTGATGTTTCACAGCATTTCAGTTTAATGGATGGGATTCAGACTTTCTCTAAGAGAGGAAAATGGGAAGCACCGAGGTATCTCCCGAAATAAGGCCCAGCCCCAAGTGCTTGTGAGATACCTTGGAAAGCCTCTCTTTGGGGCCTGTTACAAATATTTATTTTGTACTCTTTGATGCTTATGGATGGTGGTACCTTCTACGATTCTGCTTTGTATAGTGTGGTTCTGGTTTGACAGAAAAGTAGAAAATCACACACCAATTGTCACCTAGAACCTCAGATCTTCCACACTTTGGGCATTGGTCATTTTATAAAGCTCAAACAAAACTTTAATGAAAAATAAATTTCCAGGGCAAAACTTCCTAATTGGGAAGCCTGTTTCCTCATTGTGTTTTATGAACATCATTATATGCATTTTTCCTGTGAGCAGAAGTGTTTTTCTCTCTATGTGCAATAACACTATAAGGACATAATCTTGCTTTCTTAGGAGTCTATATCTACCTGCAGATTTGCACAACGAGTGGCACTCATAAAGAATGAAGCTGTTCTTAATGAAGAAATCGATCCCAAATTGGTAAGCAACTTTTAACTATGTTAAAAAAAAGAAATCCAAGTATATAAAAGCTTAGCTAAAGCCTGGGAGGCACTCACTTCCCATAACCAGGCAATGTTCTAAATACCGGAAACGTGTAAAATCATTTAATTCTCACAACAGCCTCATGAGTAGATACCATCTCTTGCTCTACCTTGAGCTGCCCTGGTATCTCAGTTGGTAAAGAATCCACCTGCAATGCAGAAGACCCCGGTTTGATTCCTGGGTCGGGAAGATCTGCTGGAGAAGGGATAGGCTACCCACCCCAGTATTCTTGGGCTCCCCTGGTGGCTCAGCTGGTAAAGAATTCACCCCCAATGTGAGAGACCTTGGTTTGATTCCTGTTTTGGGAAGATCCCCTGGAGAAGGGAAAGGCTCCCACGCTAGTATCCTGGCCTGGAGAATTCCATGGACTATACAGTCCATGGGGTTTCAAAGAGCTGGACATGACTGAGCGACTTTCACTTTCACTTTCCTCTACCTTATAGGTGGCAAAAGGAAAGCATGAGAATATTTAGTGATTTGATCTGAGTTGCATTACTAATAGGTCACAGAACAGGACTCAGACACAGGCAGTCTGACCCCAGGGCCTGTGCTCTTATCTACAGCCCCCTGTCAGATACAGAGAGTCCTGAGGACAGACATGAAATCATACACAATTATATTTCTAGAAAGGTCCTAGCCTTTCAGTGGTTGTTAAATAGAATAGTACTCTGCATAACTGTTCTTTTACTTATTCTAGAGATTTTAAAAAGTTAGCAGTTGGTTGTATCCATGGAAAAATAGCCAAGCCTCTATGTTTATAAAAGTTCATTCTTCTTTATCAAAGTGCTTTATTTAAGGAAAGATATTTGTAAGTTACCTGATTCAGCTACTCATTATAAATGCAGAGATGTTTTCTTTCTTTTTTTAGTCTTCTACAAATAAAATAAAACAAGGAATTCATTTGCACCAACATGGAAAATGTTGAATTACAATATCTCAATTTTGTAAAACTCCAAAATTAAGATTATACTACTTTTTAAATCAATCCCCTTTAGAAAAAAAAAGATTTCTCTAGAAAATAAACTAGGGTAAGCTGGGCTGTTGTTTAGTCGCTCAGTTGTGTCCAACTCATCGTGAACCCATGGACTGGAGCAAGCCGGGCTTCCCTGTCCTTCACCATCTTCTGGAGCTTGCTCAAACTCATGTGCATTGAGTCGGTGATGCCATCCAACCATCTCATCCTCTGTCATCCCTTCTCCTCCTGCCTTCAAACTTTTCCAGCATCAGGGTCTTTTCTAATGAGTGGGCTCTTCACATCAGGTGGCCAAAGTATTGGAGTTTCAGCTTCAGCATCAGTCCTTCCAATGAACACCCAGGACTGATCTGCTTTAGGATGGACTAGGTTGGATCTCCTTGCAGTCCAAGGGACTCTCAAGAGTCTTCTCCAACACCAGAGTTCAAAAGCTCAGTTCTTCAGTGTTCAGCCTTCTTTATGGAAAGATGGGCACAGAAGACAGAAATGGTGTGGACCTAACAGAAGCAGAAGATATTAAGAAGAGGTGGCAATAATACACAGAAGAACTGAACAAAAAAGATCTTAATGACTCAGATAAACACGATGGTATAATCACTCACCTAGAGTCAGACATCTTGGAGTGTGAAGTCAAGTGGGCCTTAGCAAGCATCACTACAAACAAAGCTAGTGGAGGTGATGGAATTCCAGTTGAGCTATTTCAAATCCTAAAAGATGATGCTGTTAAAGTGCTGCACTCAATATGCCAACAAATTTGGAAAATTCAGCAGTGGCCACAGGACTGGAAAAGCTCAGTTTTCATTCCAATCCCAAAGAAGCGCAGTGCCAAAGAATGTTCAAACTATGGCAAATTTCGCTTGTTTCACATGCTAGCAAAGTGATGCTCAGAATCCTCCAAGCTAGGCTTCAACAGTATGTGAACCAGGAACACTCAGATGTTCAAGTTGGATTTAGAAAAAGTAGAGGAACCAGAGATCAAATTGCCAACATCCACTGAATCATAGAAAAAATAAGATAATTCCAGAAAAACAGCTTCTGCTTCATTGACTATACTAAAGCCTTTGACTGGAGAGCTCAAACTGAAAAATTCTTAAAGAGAATTTAAGAATTAAATTCTCTTACCACCTGACCTGCCTCCTGAGAAACCTGTATTCAGGTCAAGAAGCAACAGTTAGAACCAGACATGGAACAATGGACTGGTTCCAAATTGGAAAAGAAGTACATTAAGGCTGTATATTGTCACCCTGCTTATTTAACTTATATGCAGAGTACATCATGCAAAATGCAGGGCTAAATGTATCACAAGCTGGAATCAAGATTGCCGGGAGAAATATCAATAACCTCAGATATGCAGATGATACCACCCTTAAGGCAGAAAGTGAAGAGAAACTGAAGAGCCTCTTGATGAAAGTGAAAGAGGAGAGTGAAAAAGCTGGCTTAAAACTCAACATTCAGAAAGCGAAGATCATGGCATCCAGTCCCATGACTTCATGGCAAATAGATGGGGAAACAACGGAAACAGTGACAGACTTTATATTCTTGGGCTCCAAAATCATTGCAGATGGTGACTGCAGCCATGAAATTAAAAGATGCTTGGTCCTTGGAAGAAAAGCTATGACAAACCTCAGTTCAGATCAGTTCAGTCATTCAGTCATGTCCAACTCCTTTCAACCCCATGGACTGCAGCACACCAGGCCTCCCTGTCCGTCACCAATTCCCGGAGTTTACTCAAACTCATGTCGATTGAGTCAATGATGCCATCCAACCATCTCATCCTCTGTCATCCCCTTCTTCTCCTGCCATCAATCTTTCCCAGTGTCAGGATCTTTTCTAATGAGTGGGCTCTTTGCATCAGGTGGTCAAATTATTGGAGTTTTAGCTTCAGCATCAATCCTTCCAGTGAATATTCAGGACTGATTTCCTTTAGCATGGACTGGTTGGATCTGTTTGCAGTCCAAGGGACTCTCAAGAGTCTTCTCCAATACCACAGTTCAAAAGCCTAGACAAGCCTAGACAGCGTTTTAAAAAGCAGAGACATTACTTTGCCGACAAAGGTCCATATTTTCAAAGCTATGATTTTTCCAGTAGTCACTATGGATGTGAGAGTTGGACCAACATACAGAAGCCTGAGCACAAAAGTTTGGTAGTAGAAGGCAATGGCACCCCACTCCAGTACCCTTGCCTGGAAAATCCCATGGACGGAGGAGCCTGGTGGGCTGCAGTCCATGGGGTCGCGAAGAGTAGGACACGACTGAGCGACTTCACTTTCACTTTTCACTTTCATGCACTGGAGAAGGAAATGGCAACCCACTCCAGTATTCTTGCCTGGAGAATCCCAGGGATGGGGGAGCCTGGTGGGCTGCCGTCTATGGGGTCGCAGAGTCGGACACAACTAAAGCGACTTAGCAGCATACATTATTTTTTTTAAAAAAAATCTGAAATCTTTCCCGTGGAGCTTTATTTACAAATTTCCCAAATTCCAAATGTGAAAATCTCGAGTTCACCCATTACCCATCTTATTACTTCCTCTTGAGTGTTTGCCCTTCCTTCCCTGAAATCATTCCATCAAAGCATAGAGGGAAAGGAGGAGAGAAGAATAGTGGGATTGACCATTTTGTCCTTCTTGCCTCCGGGAGCCTGAACTCGCCTAATGGAATTCTCTTCTGGAGAAACCAGTGAGTGAGGAACATCCCTTTTTCCAGGCCATCCCCTGCTCACATACCAGCGTCACAGGGCACCGCCCCACCCTCCTGAAAAAAAATGAGACGCGATGCAAAGGCCTAAGACAAGTGGAACTGAATTCCTAGGATGAATCCCTCTGCTGTTCCCACCCTGCCAGCCACCCTGTAACATTACTGTGCAGAATAGAAAGACAGGAGTGGGCTTATTAGCCTGAAGACAAAAATTACTTCATAACTAAAGAAAAATAAACACATTAGACATTGGAGGTTTTTCCCTTCAAATTTGGCTGCAGAGACTTTTCTTTGAAGGAACTTGAGGAATTTGAAGAAAGATGAACATTATCATGTGTTTGATGTAGGTCTGTGAGAGATTTAATGAAACGAGAAATCAGGAGTCAAAAGCTAATAGCTGATAATTGAACAAATGTTGAGGTCTTCCTGGTGCAGAATAATCTGGTAATTGACAAGTGTTGTTTCCTGATCTCCTTTATAATTGCTTCTAAAAACTGACACTACTGTTCATTATTTGAAGTACAGAGCTTTTCTGAAACACATGTGACAATTGAAAAGTTGTCCTCAAAACCACCCAGAACACAACTGGATGGGGAAAATAAACACCAGCTTTGGGGTAGTGGTAGTGGGAAATTCATTTAGGGAAAGCTCTACGGGGCTAAGGGCTTCCTAAGAGTCTGCAGTGTTTTATCTCTTAAGCTAAGTAGTCAGTACCTGAATGTTCACTTAAGCTTCGAAGTAGGTACAAGGTATTATTTATACCTCTTTGTTTATCTGAAGTAGTTCCTACTAAAATGTAAAATCACATGAATTAAGGTGACTCATTACATTCACAGTTTAAAAGAAAAAAATTATATCATCACATCATTAGATATAGAAAAAAGCATTTGATAACATTAAACATTCATCCATAGTTTGAAAAGGCTCATCAAACTATGAATATATGCTAACATCCTTAGAGCAATTAAGGGTATCAACCAAAAACTACAGCAAACATTTTAAAGGTGAAATGTTAGAAGGAATATGACAAGAATGTCCTAAGCACTATACTTGGAGTTTCTAGCTGGGAAAGAGACAATTTTTTTTTTCTTTTTACTTTCAGTTCACTTCAGTCGCTCAGTCATGTCCAACTCTTTGCGACCCCATGAATCGCAGCACGCCAGGCCTCCCTGTCCATCACCAACTCCCAGAGTCCACCCAAACTCATGTCCATTGAGTTGGTGATGCCATCCAACCATCTGATCCTTTGTCGTCCCCTTCTCCTCCTGCCCTCAATCTTTCCCAGCATCAGGGTCTTTACAAATGAGTCAGCTCTTTGCATCAGGTGGCCAGAGTATTGGAGTTTCAGCTTCAACATCAGTCCTTCTAATGAACACCCAGGACTGATTTCCTTTAGGATGGGCTGGTTGGATCTCCTTGTAGTCCAAGGGACTCTCAAGAGTCTTCTCCAACACCACAGTTCAAAAGCATCAATTCTTCAGCACTCAGCTTTCTTTATAGTCCAACTCTCACATCCATACATGACCACTGGAAACATATACAATTTTTATTTGTCAATCATACCTCAATAAAGCTAGTAGGAGGGAAGTAATAACATTCAATTATACTTAGCAATAACAGCTACCATTCACTGAGGCTTCTGCCAGGCACTCACTGTACCAGGCCTTGTATCTACACACATGCATGTATAAAATCTCATTGACTGATCACTCTCAGCTTCTGAGGTATCACTTTCCTCATTCCACAGCAGGTAGGAGTGGGAAGTGGCAGAGAATGAGCTTCAGATAGGTTAAGTCATCTGCCCAAAGCCATATAGATAGACACATAGCGAAAGCAGAATGTGGACCCCGGTCCATGAGTACTCAGAGCCCTGCTGTGGGCACCACGCTAAACTGCCCCAATGCAGTACATGCAGTGTGACTTCCTCTCACACCTTGCACAAGGGCCAGCAGCCCTGTGACAACTAGTTCAGCCTTGGAAGGCAGAATTCCTTTCTTCCTCTTGGTATTGTGATGTCGGTTACTAGAAAAGTTACCAGATTGTAATGGTTAATTAAACTCTGTCATCAGGCATTGCTAAGAAACAGCCAAGTTCTCCCAAAAAATGTCCCAAAAATCACATGTTGGAGATGGTAAAATAGAAGGAGGTTGGGGACTTGTTCCTACTTCTGAAACACGAGAAAGGGCTGTTGAGGCAGATGAAATAAGATCCAGTCCATCAAACTATATACGTTTGCTTCCCATCGGAATCTGAGCTTTATGAAAGAAGAGATGGTTTTACTCCTTGCTGTCTCCCCAGAGTCTAGAACCATGTCTCCCACAAAGTAGGTGCTCAAGGAAAACCACCATTGAATGAGTGAATTGGCTCATATTAAACCCAGATAATGGCAGTGCAGGCATGATGGGAGGGATCCTGAACAACCCAAAATCATTATTAAAAGTTTTCCAAATATGGCACAAAAAATTGTTTAGTGTAAATTTAAGTGGTAAAAATTATATCCGCTTTTTAGGAACACATTTAGCCTTTCTTCTTATATATCCCTTATCCAAAATCATAAAAAGTTGTTTCATGTAAAATACACTGATGAGGGGAGAAGAAAAAAATAGAGATATGGGATTAAGAGATACAGACTACTGTGCATACAATAGGTAAGCAACAAGGAAATATCGGATAGCACAGGGGATCATAACCATTATCTTATAATAATTTTTTTTTCCTGAAAAGCTGTTTATTGGGATTATCAATCAAGGAGAGACTCCACAGACCCTGATCTTCAGTGGTAAAGAAATATAATCTGTAAAAATACTGAATCACTATGCTGAATGCCTGCAAAGAATATTGGTCATTACTGGTAGACTATTTGATTGCTCATCTAGAACATCCAGTAGTGGGGCCTTCCTGGTGGCCCAGTGGTTAAGAATCTGCCTACCAATGAAGGAGACACAGGTTCAACCCCTGGTCTTGTGGAAGGAAGAGTCTACATGCTGAGGGGCGGTTAAGCCTATGTGCCATAGCTACTCCGTCCATGTGCCCCGGAGCCTGTGTTCTGCAGTTAGAAGCCACAAGGAAAGGGGAGGAGGCTACTCTCTACTTGCGTACCCCAAGAAGAGAGTAGCCACCACTTGCCACAACTAAAGAGCCCATATGCAGCAATAAAGACTCAGTGAAGCCCAGAAAAAAAAAGAACATCCAAGTATTCAATAACAAAAAAATGATAACCAAAATAATGTTCAGAAAAGTAGTTGTTAAATAATCCATAAAAATGAATTGCCTTCCTATATATCAAAAGCCAGTAATTAGAAAAAAATTTTTTATAAAAAAATTTTTTTATAAATTTTTTTTATAAAATTAAAAAAATTTTATAAAAATTTCACTTATAGTAGCAACAAAAACTTTAAAATTCTAGGAACAAAATCTAATTAAAGATATATAAGGTATTTATAGAGAAAACTATGAATCTATATTGAAAGGAATCAATGGAAAGCCATACCATGTTTGTGGATGTAATGATTTCATTATGTTGTGTTGTTTAGTCCCTAAGTTGTGTCCAACTCTTGCGACCCCACTGACTGTAGCCCACCAGGCTCCTCTGTCCATGGGATCTTCCGGGCAAGAATCCTGGAGTGAGTTGTCGTTTCCTTCTCCAGGAGATCTTCCCAATCCAAGGATTAAACCTGCATCTCCTGCATCAACAGGCAGATTCTTTACCACTAAACCACCTGGGAAGCCCAGTGATTCATTAGTATTATTTTAATCTCTTATCAAATTAACCTTTTACTCAAATTCATTTACAGTTGAAATTTGAGAAGAGCCTTTGATAGAATTTTACAAGCTAAGTCTAAAATTTATATGAAAGAGCATATGATCAGGAATAGCCAAGTCTATTTCAGAAGAGAACAAGATGGAAAGGACTTGTTCTATCTAGATGCCAAAATTTCTTAAGATACAGTAATTAAAACAGTGTGGTATTACCATGCATATAGTCAAGTAGGCAAATGTTTTTAACCAGTAGCCCAGAAAAAGACACGTCTTATATGTGGAAAAACATAACAGAATTTTAATAGCAAATCTTGCATGGTTGGCCATAAAAAAAATTAAAATTAGATCCATATCTTATACTTCCTACAAAGTACAATCAACCTAAATGTAAAAAGCAAAACTTTAATACTTTTATAAGAACTTATAGAGAAATGCAGGCTTCCCAGGTGGCACAGTAGTAAAGAATCCACCTGCAATGCAGGAGACACAAAAGACTCGGGGAAGATTCCCTGGAGGAGGAAATGGTAACCCCCTCAAGTGTTATTGCCTGGAAAATTCCATGGGCAGAGGAGCCTGGAGGGCTACAGTGCACAGAGTTACTGAGTCAGACATGTACTGAGCATGCACATACACTATAGGAAAATATTGCTATGGCTTTAAGTAAAATGATGCTCTCAGAGGAAACACAGAAATGCAACTCATGACAAAATAAGTTGATAATGAAATTGCATTGAAATTTAAAACTTTTGTTTCACAGAAAGAACACCACAAAGTGGAAAACATGACATAGATTGGGAGAAAATATGGGCATTGCATAAAACTTACAAAGGGTTCACATCCTGAATTTATGAAGAAGCCTGAAAATCCGTAAGGAAAAGAAAAATAATTCAACTGAAACATGGGCAAGATGGTGAATAAGAAATTCACAGAAGAGGAAACTCAAACAGTCAACATACATTTACAAAGATGATCATCAACCTCACCAATAATCATGAAAACACAGATTAGAATAGAAAACAGACCATTTTACACCTACCAAATTGGCAAAATTAGTGTCTGGCAATACTACATACATAGTGACAAAAATGTGGGGAAGCAGGAACTTACATATACAGTTGATGAGAATATAAATTTATACAACTATTTGGAAGAGCAGTTTAGCAATATATAGTAAAGGGAAGCTGCACTTACTCTGCAAGTACGCTACAGAGAAAGTTGGATGTGCCTAGAGATTTATAGTGTTCACCACAACACTGTTTGTAATAGCAAAGGCAAAATTCCAATGTCCATGAGACATAAATACATCAATTGTGATGTAGTCCTTTATTGAAATACTATATATCCATGAAAATTCATGAACTAGAACCACATGAAACAATATAAATAATCTCCAAACATAGTGTGAGGAAAAAAAACCAAGTTGCAGTTACATGCAGTGTAATAGCATTTACGTTAAGTGTAAGGCATGCAAAATAACATATATCATTTATAATCACACCTATACCCATGGAGTAAATGTTTAAAACATGCAGGGAAATGCTACCCACTAAATGCAGGATTGCAGTCACCCCAGGAAGGACAGAAGGAAACAGGAGTAAGGGCCTCCAGGTTCCATCAGGAATGTTTTATTTGTTAAGAAAAATTCTAGAACTATTTTGACAAAATGATAAGATTTAAGAAAGCAAGGTGGTAAGTACAAGAGTGCCTTTGGTATCCTTCTCTGTACATTTTTGTTCCTAATTTTAAAAGATGTGTGTTCTCTGTCACATAGTCCCCTCAATGAGGAGCTGACATTTATGCTCCTGCCTTACCATTTCAGATGATTATACGCCTACAAAAGGAAATCCAGGAACTGAAGGATGAACTGGCCATTGTCACTGGGGAGCAGAGGACAGAGGCGCTCACAGAAGCAGAGCTCCTTCAGTAAGCCTGCAGACATTTTCTTTAACAGTGCGAGTTTGTGTGAACTTCTGTGTTGGCCCTGATGTTATGAATTCACCTCAAAGCGCGAAGGTCTCCTGAGACAGTCTGAAATTGTATGTAGGCGCCAGCTAAGAGTGGCAGCTTTCCATGAAAAGCTGGATAAGGCTGGCAGTGTTTTTGCCGCCTCAGCTTTGAGGAAGCAAAGAACAGAACATGGAGTGGATGGGAGTATCCTTCTCATGCCAGCTGAAGAGAAAGGATTGTATAATAGTCATGCAACTTTTAAACGTATCCGCCACACACTCTACAAGCTGTGGATCTCAGATCTGAAAGGAATTCCAGAAACGTCCTTTGTATTAAACAGCATCTTGCTGCAAGCACCAATTTATCCCATGCCAAAGTAAGCTCTCTCCTTTAATAAATAGATGGCCCATATATTACAGTTCAAACACTCAAAATGGGAATGAAAGCAGGTATTCAGGACTTCACACAAGTGCGGCATCTCTCAGGGCCTTTAGACTTGCAGCCATATGGCATGCCAAGGGCACAGCGTGGCTCGAGTTCTCGCTCTGATCACGAGCCACCACGGCGGGCTCTCTTGTTTCTGTGCTGTTTATTAAGCATTTGTGAAGTGATAACAATGGACTGGGCTCAGAAGGCAGTGGTACTCTCTGTTTCAGAGTAACAAGCGACGCAAGCTTTCCCTGAAGGTTTGCTGTCATTTCACATGACCCTTTCTCAACAGAGAAAATGGTAACTAACAGAGGCTGGAAGCATTTTCTTTAAACAGCTTCATAGCTGCCCCTGGACGCAGGGCTAAAGTTTGAGAAGCCTTAAGCAAGGTTTCTGTTATACGCCAAGCCTTCCTCCTCTGGGACAGCAGTTCCTCATTTTAGAACGCTGTGTTTAATAGCGTGATAGGCCCCTAAGGCTTTCTGTACAAAACTGCTTCATGACATATATGAGATTAAGGTGAAATATACTGCCAGAATTCATGTTTTAAAGAATTTCATGTCACTCCTTGAAATAACCTGGGATAGCTTAGATACTGAGAAACCCAAGTTTCAAATTCCTTCATTATGGTGCTCCCAGCCCCACAAAGAAAGGGCTTGTTGTTTTGTTGCTAAGTCATGTCCTACTCTTTGCGACCCCATGGACTGTAGCCCACCAGGATCCTCTGTCCATGGGATTCTCCAGGCAAGAACACTGGAGTGGGTTGCCATGCCCTTCCTCCAGGGACCTTCCTGACCCAGGGCTTGAACCTGCGTCTCCTGCTTGGCAGGTGGATGCTTTACCACTGGGCCACCTGGGAAGCCATAAAGAAAGGGCTTACCCAGTATTAGTTTTGAAGGTGCCTCCTCAGAGTTTTGATCTGCAAATCAGGATCCAGTCAGGAAAACAAAAGCATTCGAGGCCTCTCAATAGCAGGAATTAAATATAGGAAATTTGTCATACAGGAGATGGTATTATGGGGTGCTACAACAGCCCAGAGATCAGAGCAGGAGGTCCGTCACCCTGAAACTGGAGGGACATCAGTAGAAGGTTGCGTTACGGAAGCCAGAGCCTGGTGCTGGCCAGCAGAAGCTGCACAAGCTGAGTGTTGCCTGTTCGGACAGAAGCTGGGGCCTCGGAAGAGCTCTGGGCGCTAGGAGGCACCATCCCACAGGGAGCGCTGGCTTCTCCCTCATCTCCCCTTCCAGTCTCCACCAGTGCCTCCCACTGGCTGGACTTACCCAGAGCCAGTAGTTAAAAGAGCCAAGCAGTGTAGTTTCCTGTGATGCAGTCAAACAAAGGAAAAGTGGAAATTGGATCTAAGAGCAAACAGGGAAATGACCCATGTGTCAAATAAGGAACAGTGTTTTCTCTAGTTCCTGTGTGCCCCGTGTTGCTCAGAAGGCTCAGGTTAAGGGTAAGATTCTGAATGTGGTGGTTCAAGATGTCAGAATGAGTAAGCATATGCCGCAGGTTCCCTCCACATTGGGTGGATGATAGAACTGATATAAGAAACATCTGAATCTCAGTCTATACCCAAGAATAAGAAGTAGGTTTCACAGGGGTCTAGACAGGAGGAAGGGATCAGCCAAGTTACGGGGCAGCAGCACCACGGCCCCATGTCTGAGGTGGTGGCACGCTGGAGCAGGGGACGGCTGGGAACAGCCCGAAGGGTCGGCAGAGCTCTCGGAGTGGGAGGACTTTGTTCCTGTGAAGCCCCTGTGTTCTCCTTCTTCCCTTCATCCCCTGGTTTTAGGTCAGTATTCCCAGGAAATAGGGAAGTGCCCCAGGTAACTGATGATGCCCAGGACAAAGAGGAACTGTATAAGCTCTGGAGACAGCGGCTGTCTCCAGTTCTGCCCATTTCCTCACTGGAGGCAGCAAGGAGCACAGGTACCCACAGCTGCTTCAGTCCCTTACCCAAGACTGGCTGCCCAAGCTGACAGCTCGGAGTCTAGGAAATGTGAGCTCACAGTTGGGAGTGACTAGAAATATGAGGACAGCCAGCATGGAGAAAGACAAGAACAAGCATTTACAGCGTGGAGGCCTTAAGAACTAAGCCAGAGGAGTGGTTGCTGTCTCTAGAGATATAAAACATGGCATTCCATCCACGAAACAACAGCAGGATCAAGAGATCTTGAAAATGAAAAAATGTACTTGTTGCCATTAAGAACTTGATGATGGCTGAATAGCAGAATGAAAGCACAGAGGGGCAAATCAGTGAGCCAGGAAGTTGGGAGCTAAGGGATTATTCCAGAATATAAGTTAAAAGGTAAAGATTTAGAAAGTTTAAACAAAAGAATCATAGAGAATAGCTCTAGATTTACCAGTATCAACGACAGTTTCCAAAAAAAAAAATAGAATGCACGGGAGCCAACAGTTAAAGAAAGAAAGCCTATTTTTTTGGAACTAAAAAAAAAAAAAGAACATAAGACTTCAGAGCAAAAGAGTTATCATATGCTAAATAGTACAATAATACTGTAGAAAAATGTTAGAATTTCAACATATTGAAAATAATCCTAGAAGTTGTTAGAGAAGAAAAGTATTAACAACCAAGAATCTGATTTAGTGAAGACTTCTCATCAACAGCTCTGGAAATAGGAACTTCTAGTACTGAAACACAAAACAAAAGAGGGCTGTGAATGGAGATTTCTGTATCTAGCCTACTATTCAAATGTGAAGGTGGCCATTTTTCAGGCATACAGACTTTCAGACAGGAAATTTCCCATGGTACCTCCTCTCTTTAAAGAGACCACCACAGACTATACTTTCACAAGAAGAAAAATTCTATAAAGCATAAGAAACAATAATAAGCAAAGTTTGTTATACCTTCTCTACGATATTTAATACTGTATTATATTTACATCTTTCACTAACTTGCCATTTATTACATAAACAGATGTTTCTGTTTAAAAGTTACTGACAACAAGCAAATTCTCATGATTCTCCTCTCATAGGAGTTTGGGGGCAGAATCGTGAGAGATAAAATTGTGACAACAGGTTTAAAATACTGACAAACTGTTAGATCTTGGATTGGCTTTCTTTGATCCACAGATAACAAATACACAAATGTCATTTGGAACAGTTTCTACATAGACAGTATGTAGGGTTGCCATTCGTTTTTCTGGGCAGTCGATTCACTCATTCAGCATTTCTTATCCATCCAGTACTCACAAAAATCTACCGTAGGCCCTGAAAGGAACACCAGGATGAACAAAACCTGGATCCCACTCTCGACGGGCTCACAATTTAGTGGCAGCAACACACACAAGCACAAGTAATTATGGTGCAATGTGTAAGTATTCTGTGGGGATATACGAATAAAACATGAGACTGCAGAGACAGTAATGATGAATTTTGAGCTCAGGCACAGCGTGTGTTCAGTCGTGTCCGACTCTTTGTGACCCCGTGGATTGTAGACCACCAGACTCCTCTGTCCATGGGATTCTCCAGGCAAGAAGACTGGAGCAGGTTGCCATTTCCTACTACTGGGAGGGAATTTTCCCCACCCAGGGATCAAACCCATGTCTCTTGCGTCTCCTGCATTGGCAGGCGAATCTTCTACCACAGCGCCACCTGGGAATCATGTAAAATTAGTTCATAAATAAGTAAACATCAGCAATTCGCAATGAAGTCGCTTCTCTGGTGTCAAGATAAGTATACTATATATAGCATTGCGTCTCTTGAATGATTTCTGATCAGCAGTTGGGGAGAACACATGTTGCAAACTGAATCTACCCTGCCAAAACCAAAGCACAGTTTCCGAGTGATCCAGTAACTTTGGTGCTTGTTCGTGCTGACAGTGAGGATTATTCAGATTATGTGGCTTTGTGTTACTGTTACGGGAAGCACACTGATTGAAACCGCCCACCCTGGCCAGGCACCATAGTAACCATTTGCATGAGTTGTTTTATGGCAGGAGATCCTGATAAGGAATACAACTAATAAGCCACCACCAGCCGGAAGAGTTCGGGAATGGTCGAGAGGAGACACTGCCTGTCTGTCCACTTCCCAGAATCCCTATTGCTAGCATCCATCTTGGCTGAGTGATGCATGCGCCACCAGGAAAGACTCTGAATTAAAATGATTGGCCAAAGACCACCCGGAAACTAATCCCGTCACCCTAAAACCCAAGACTGCGAGCCACGCGGCAGAGCAGTTCTCCTGGGTTCCCTTGCCCTCCTGCTTTCCACCTGGGTGCCCTTTCCCAATAAAATCTCTTGCTTTGTCAGCACATGTGTCTCCTCGGACAATTCTTTTCGGAGTGTTAGACAAGAGCCCAACCTCGGGCCCTGGAAGGGGGTCCCCCTTCCTACAACATTACTGTTTTTGCTACACTGTTGTTGCAGTTACATTTTGGACTGATTAGCTAGATCAATATTGGTATGGCTTAAAATTCATCAGGTTTCAGAGTTCTTTATTATGTTAGAGTAAAAGAAGGAAATTAACACCTGCCCATAATGTGGCTCTGCTATTTAATATCATTGGTGCCTCTTTGTCTTCTGCCA